ACAATCAAATAAGTAAAACATTAAAAAGGACAGAGGGCAACCTTCTAAATAATTGTGAAAATGTTWATTTTTTTATTATTTTGGATTATTTACCTAAGTTTGTGTCATGAAATAATAATTTAAAAAATACTTTCTAAAACTGTGATTTTGTGTTTGTGGTGATAAACAAATTAACCCAATGATTTTATGTTTAATGCATAAAAGTGATGTGTTTGTGAGACATTCATTTATCTAAAACCAACAACATATTATTTAACAAAAAAATCAACAGCTTGTCAAAAAATATCTGACTTCTAAAATAGTTAATATTTGTGAAGTCCCACATTTATAATCCCAAATTTGTCTAACCAAATAATTAACCAATCAGAGAGCATTTTTTTCGTTTTCCCCCTCACACAGCTGTTAAATAAATACAACAGAATTATTTGGCAGAAAATCCTCTCAGACGGCGCGACTTCACAGTGGATGAAAACACAGAATAAAAGAGGAAAATGCGTGTAGCGACTATTCAAGGTTGGATCTAGCAGGTGAGCAAGGTGTTTGCAAATGCATCATCCCATGAAAAGGCCTATTGAGAGTGACCTTACTGCGTTCTGGCTGAATGAGGAAACGGCAGACGGTGCTGCTTTTAATAGACAATTTGTTCAGCCTGTTGCCAAAACAGATTTAAAGGAGTGAAATGGTGATTCATCACCAACAAGCTGCTGTTTGAGATGATTAGACTCAGGTTGGAGGTAAAGTGGAGATTAGAAGAGTTTTTTTCCCCTCACCTGAAGGATCCATGAAGGCTCGTAATCCCAGGATGTTGTTGACGGTGTGCGGAGAAGGCCAGGCCCTGGATATGCTCACATGTCCAGCCCCCACGGGCACTCCAGCTGGGGTGCCCATTTTAGTGCTTGTCGGAGACATAGTGTTGGGGTAGGAGTACGGGTATATGTGGTTGTAGGAGAGGCCGGCCTGCGCGGAGGCTTGCTTGCTGCTCTCGTACTGGCTGGGCTGGGAGAGATTCCCAATCTTGTTGCGTAAAATCCTGCTGATCGAGCTCACGGACGGCACGTTGTATTTGTCACAAACCCCGTCGGCCAAAAGCCTGTCCCTGATCTCCCAGGCAAAGATCCCGGGGTCGCTCTGTTTGTACTCCCGGATGTTTTTCACCACGTTCGGCGTCGTGACGCGCGGCTTGCTCCCACCGATGGCACCGGGCAAGATGGAGCCCGTCTCGTTGTACCTCGCCAAAATCTTGCTCACGCAGCCGTGGGAGACTCGGAGCTGCCGGCTTATGTCACAGGGTCGGATCCCGATCTGGGCCAGCTCCACGATTCGCAACCGTATGGCGTTGGGCAGGGGTCTGCCGTTGACGAACACTCCGCCCAGCTGGTTCACCTCTCCATAGGTTTGCTCTGCGGGAGAAAGAACACATGACGYGTTTTACCTCTTGGAGGCGAGTCTGTCTGAACAAATACATTCAACGTCCACTTCTTAGGATGGATTTGCACATAAATCAGCTGCGTAAAAACAGCCCTATTTATTCAAAGCTCTCGCATTCACAGGAATTTGCAGCACAGACTGAGCTCACGCAGACGTCGGCTCAGTAGGCCCGTGTGGGTTTTTACAACTGCTCAAAAGCGTGCAAACTGTTAAACTGGTTTTACCCTGCAAAGCGCACAAAAAACACTATTAAATATGGCGAGCATGAAGAATAGACATCAGAGAACCCTTCAAAGAAAAGCTCGCCGTCTAATTGGTGGTGTGGTTCCATTTAAAGCTCCAAACAGGCACTCATGCTCTGTAGTAGTAAGGGAAAAAAATGCACCTTATAAAAAATCTGTCTTTAAATGATCCTTAAATCAAAATGCGTTTTTTTTTCTATCAGCCATTGACGCACGCACTCATTAGAAGCTTACCCATTTGCTTGTACAGGTCGAGATGCAGGCAAATACAGATGTCCCTCCAAAATAGCGACGTGAGAGAAGGAAAGGGGGGCGAGAGGAATGAGCCCCCACAACCCAGAGAACCAAAAAGTCAGCTTGTTTCAGCCTCGTCCGAACGCAGCGGGCTCCCCTGTTCATGAACTGGAAGCGAGTGACTGCTGCGCGCAAACGCACCGGAGCGATCTTCATCCGATAAACGCGAATTGGATTTGTCCCGGGGAGTCCGAAGGCTGCTGGAATTAATTTGACGCGTCCTCCACTTCAAGTCTCCGCAGTTCCACGCCGAGCCTCTCCGCGCGCTCCCATTGGTCGTCCCGATGCTGGGAGACGCTGTCAGCCAATAGGAAGCCCATCCGGTCGAAGCTGCTCAGCCCTTTTTTTTTCTTTCTTATTTTGCATACAGGGGGAAGTGACAGAGAGAGGGAAACGTTCCAGCCAACATGCAGCCCCCCTGGTAAGGACTCACGCATCGTGCCAAATATTGTTGCCACAATTCTCAACTTAAAAATAATCAGTTGAAAAAGATTTAATGTATTAATTGTATTTGATTTGCATGAACAAGCTTTTAGTGGTAGCCTAAACGGATATTTTTTTCCAAGTCATTCATTCCATCAGTGCATGAATTTCTAAGCCATGTGTGCTATTCTAGTTTATAAAAACTACACTTGTGTTCATCAACTTTAGTTTGTTTTATTTTATGATCTATAAACAAACCATAAGAGGAGAGATTTAGTTTAATATTTACAAGAAGATTCTTGATCCATCAGAGCAAAAATAAAGACAAAAACTACCCGCCAAAGTTTTTATTCATTTAATTTATTTAATAAGGTCATCAAAGATGGGACTGGCCTCGTGTAATCGATCCCCCTATGATCTCAGACTATAAATATGGGATATCGACTGGATTCCAGAGACGACCTTATTATCGCAGCGTGCTCGCAGAGTTTCCTGTCCGAGTTTGGAACCCATCGTTTATAAGCTCACAAAATGTTACTTGTAAAACTTAACAGTCGACCCGATGGTAACAAGGTGCAGCAGTACCCTCCCTGTCCCAGAC